CCTTCCCGTTCCGGTCCTCTCGCCCCCAGTTTCCTCCCCAGAGGCAGTCACTGTTGTGTTTCTTATGATTCTTTCAAAGATACTCTTTAACTATACAGGCATATGCACATCTATTTGAAAGCACACACATACACACACACGCTAGCACAATATATATGCTGTTCTGCCCTTTCCCACTTAATAATTATCTTAGAAATTTTTGCATAGATTTTTGAAGCAAACTTGAAGAACTTTGCCATTTTACTCCCTTTGCCATTTTACTAACCCCAACCAGATATGGGGACAATTTTAGTATCAAAAATAATAATAATCGCAGTGGATTGAAAAATTTTAAATAAGTTTAAATCCAAGAGCTTATGATGATTTTTACACAAAACAAAATTTCATTTTTCATTTTTGGAGGATGGAAAGAAATCAATTCATTATTCTGAAAATTGGTAAATAAAAAGAAAGACCCAAGCATTTCTCTGCCTTTTCTTTGCAAGCTGAACATCAAGGTAGCCAAATAATTGACGAGGGAAAGTTTCTCCTATAGGCATGGTAGGATTAGAATATGGCTGTTTTGCAATTCCCAACCAATTTATGGATCTAGGCAATAATCATCAGTGGGTGCTGACATTGCTAAAGGGTGACAGCCAGCTGTGATGTGCCTCCTAATGGAAGTATGCAACTCCCTGTGTGTCACCAACATTGAATATATAACTGCAAAAAGAAAATTACAATAAACCCAGCTCTAAATAATACTGGTTCATGGCTATTTTAATTTCATCTATAGGCCCACCACCTCTGTTCTTCACCCCCACCCCACATTCCCCCCACCTCCCTCTTACTGCATCTATTTTATTTTTTAAGTTTTTTTATTATTATTATTAATTTATTTATTTTTTAAATGGATGTCCTGTGTGGTGGGTGAGCTCAGGGTTGGTGAGATCACTCTTTCTTTCTTTTTTTTTTTTTTAAGATTTTATTTATTTATTTGATAGACAGAGATCACATGTAGGCAGAGAGGGAGGCAGAGAGAGAGGAAGAGAAGCAGGCTTCCCAATGAGCAGAGAGCCCGACACGGGGCTTGATCCCAGGACCCTGGGATCATGACCTGAGCCAAAGGCAGAGGCTTTAACCCATTGAGCCACCCAGGCGCCCCAAGTTTTATTATTTTTTTTAAGATTTTATTTATTTGTCAGAGAGAGAGAGAGAGGGAGAGCACAAGCAGGGGGAGCAGCAGGCAAAGGGAGAAGAGGCTCCCCGCTGAGCAGGAAGGCCCAAATGGGACTTGATCCCAGAACCCTGGGATCATGACCTGAGCCGAAGGCGGACACTTAACCAACTGAGCTACCCAGGCACCCCCTCTTACTGCATTTAAATTTTCCATATTGCCAGCTGTTCTCCACAGAGGTTCTAATAATTTCTACTCCTGCCAACAGTATGTGAGAATGCCAGTTTTCTTATACTCTTACCAGTGTTTTTTTTTTTTTAATTTACTAGATTAATTTTTTTTTAAATTATTTTTTTTTAATTTGACAGACAGATCACAAGTAGGCAGAGAGGCAGGCAGAGAGAGAGAGAGGAGGAAGCAGGCTCTCCGCAGAGCAGAGAGCCCGATGCAGGGCTCGATCCCAGGACCCTGGGATCATGACCTGAGCCAAAGGCAGAGGCTTTAACCGACTGAGCCACCCAGGCACCCCCAGATTAATTTTTTTAAAGGGGGGAATGGGGCAGAGGGCGAGGGAGAGAATCTTAAGCAGCCTCCACACCCAGGCAGAGACTGATGCGGGGCTCCATCTCACAGCCCTGAGATCATGACCCAAGCTGAAATCAAGAGTCGGATATCTGCTTAACTGCCTAAGCCATCCAGGCGCCCCTTAGATTGCATCTCTCATAATTGAGATTGAGCATCTTTTAATATGCTTAGGGGTAATTTGTATTTCTTTTACTCTGAAGTGCCTGTGCATATTTTTGGTCTTTTTCTTACTGATTTGTAGAGCTACTTTTCATATCAAAGAAATTAGCCATTAGTCCGTAGTAGTATTAATTTTTCCCAGTTTGTTGTTTTTCTTTGATTTTGATTTTGTTTGTGATTTTTTTTTTTTTTGCCATTAAAAAAAAAAACCCTTTAATATAGTTGAATTGATTCATCTTTTATGTCTTCTAGATTTTGGGTGATACTTAAAAAAGTCTTTTCCACTTTGAGATAAAAATATTCTCCTGTGTTTTCTTTAGTTTCTTTTTAGCTTCATTTCTTATGTCAAAATTTTTGATTCATCTGGAATTTATTTTCATGTCCTGGATAAGGTAGGGCTATAGCTCATCTTTTCCTCAGGGTACTGCCCATTTGTCACAGCGCTGTCCACTGAATGATCTCTTTGCTACAGTCATTTAAAATGCCGCCTTTGTCATATACTCAATTCCTGTGTGTGCTTAATTCTGTTTCTGAACTTCGTGTTTATTTCACCAACATCTGCTTATTCTTCTGTTAACACCACATTCTTTTAATTGTTACAGCTTTATGATGTGTTACTACTTTAGAGAACTCTTCTCCCTCCCACACACATTCACACAGCACTCTTCAGAATTTTCATGGCTGTTCTTCTGTATTTAGTTTTTTTTTTTTTTAATTATTTTTTCCCAAACATTTTATGTATTTTAAGGAGAGAGAGCAAGAACGAGTATGAGCAGGGAGAGGGGCAGAAGGGGAGGGAGAAGGACAAGCAGATTCTGCGTTTATCACACAGCCCGACGCAGGGCTCCATCCCACCACCCGGAGATCATGACCTGAGCTGAAATTACTAGTCAGAGGCTTAACATCCTGAGCCATCCAGGCACCCCTAGTTTTTCTTGTAACTTTTAGAATGATCTTATTTGGTTCTCAAAAATGTCATGATGATTTTTGTATTGGAATTGAGTAAAATTTATAGATTTGCCTGAAGAGAGTTGCCATCTGTTCATTCCTATTCAGCTGAGCTAGAATAGAAGTACGAAGTCTCACATTTGTGTGGGGGAAACACCAGTTGCGTAAGATGGCATCACTTATTAAACAACTAATTTAGTTGATGTGCCAGACAGTGTTTCATACACTGGGGAGAAAGCAAATGAATGCATTACAGGTAGTCCCTAGGCTCTTTTCCATTTCTGAAGAGCGGGTGGCATCACACCGTGTGAAGAAATTTTGGCCCCCAGTCTCAGGTAAGCCAGTAGGATCCTGTCTTGGCTTCAGTTGTTACCGTCTTGGGTTGCTTTAAAGGATATTCACAGAGGGAGAAGGAGAGCGTCGCTAGTGAGGAGTTCAGGCTCTGGAGGCAGGCAGTAGGGGTGAGAATTAGGCGCCTCTCGGTCTCAGCAGTTTATTTGACCTCTTTGAGTCTTAGTTTCCACAACTGTAAAATGGGATATTCATTGTACCTAATGTGTGGGGTTGTGTGTGAGGCTTACATGAGGTAATGGAAAATGCTTTGCACTTTGCCTGGTGTACACTGGTGTTGTGTACACGTTAACTACTACCACTTAGATTGGAAATCTGACTGCTGGTCTGGTGGTGTCTGTTATATTATGTTCAGTTCCTGCTGTCACTATTGAGGAGAGGCAGTAGGAGAAGATACCAAAAGAGAGCAGCCTGGTGATAAGAAGGGAAGGGCCTAGTAACATTAAAGAAAGAGCAGGCCTTCTTACCAGAAAAGAGAAGGTGAATGAGAATCAGGGTGGCCACCTACTTACACTGTATTGGGTAGGGGGTGTGGGGATGTGGGGGGTGGGGGGGTGGGGCCCCACTCTAAGCCCCAACCCCTAGGTCCAGCCAGTAAAATTCTGCTTCACAGGAGCACCTGGGTGGCTCAGTGGGTTAAAGCCTCTGCCTTCCGCTCAGGTCATGATCCCAGGGTCCTGGGATCGAGCCCCGCATCTGGCTCTCTGCTCCGCAGGGAGCCTGCTTCCTCCTCTCTCTCTCTGCCTTCCTGCGATCTCTCTCTGTCAAATAAATAAATAAAATCTTTAAAAAAAGAAAATTCTGCTTCACATAAGAAATAACTTGCTGGCAGGACATCTGCTCAATGATGGGATGGTAGCGGATTCCTTGTCAGAAGCGTTTAAGAAGAGTCTAGATAGTACATTTGTTACATTTGAAACTGCAAAAAGGATTTCTGAATTAGGAAGATGAAGCTAAATCACATCTAAGGGGTTTTCCTACAGAATTTTGGAATAAGTGTGCACATATGCAGTCACATATGTAGAAAATTCTCTGCATATGGCTTAGCCATTTTCAAAGAATTCTTCGAAAACCTCATTGGATCCCTTTTTGAATAAGAAGCTATTGCATTGTCTTGGGGTCCTTGTGAACATGAATGATCATAAAAGAGATAAAGAAGTGAAGAAATAAGGAGACTCAGAACAGGCTTATTTGACTTCTTCCTCTTTGTCTATCGTTATTTGGCAGACAGGTCCCTCATCTTTGGTGCTCATCTTTTTCATCTATAGTATTAATCTTTGTTCCATGCTTTGAGCATGAGACTTTAAAAGAACAAGCACATGGTTGGAAGTTCTTTGCTTCTTACAGTATAGAGAGCTTTTTGAAGGAAGGTGCTATTTGTGCCTGGCAGACAAATGGCAAGGTCAAAGAAATGTGACCCTGCAGATGTGGCCTTGGCCTTGCTTCATTTAGCACCAACACACCTCCCTATTACCTTCCTTCCTGCTCCTCTTTTATTGTAATACGTGTAATCAGAATACTTTAGAAAAATGTAATACAGGTTTACAAAAGAGGTAACATTAGATATATTTATTTCAGATCCATCTCCCACTTCTTGGGGGTGGGGTGCCGGGGTGGAGAACAGGGGCAGGCCATTACTGGCTTGCTGTCATTTCCAAAGTTATGTTTTATAAAACTTTTTGCCATTACCAGATACATGCGTGGTAACATCGTAGGTACTGTGTTACCACTTTAAGGGAAAAATCTAGTTATTGTGAACACGAGTCTAAGTTGATCTCTCCAGTACGATTTCTGTTTTCAGTGAATGACGAACCCACTGCAGCCACTGATCCTGAAGAACCCTCTGTTGTTGGGGTGACATTGTCGCCTGCTGCGGTGTCGAGTGTGACCCCGAACCCCACCTCAGTGTCTCTCCCTGCTTCAGCCACCCCAGCGGAAGGAGAGGAACCCAGCACCTCAGGCACCCAGCAGCTCCCGGCAGCTGCCCAGGCCCTTGATGCTCTGCCCGCCGGGTGAGTAGCCTTTTGGCCCACAGCAGCGCTTCCCCCTCTCAAATCTCAGGCTCCTTCGCCAGGACAGAAACAACATGGTTATTTATTACCTAATGGCTTGTAGTCTCTGGGGAGGCTGCCATTTACAAGAGTGAGGGAGGTGTGGAAGAACTGCTTATTCTACAGAAATCCTGAAAAGAATCTAAATCATCTGGGGCAGAATCAATGCTACCTTATACCATGACTTGAAATGAATGGCTTGACTTAAAGAGTCAAGGAACAAGGAGCTCATTTTGCCCTCCTTCGTCTTTGGAGGGTGTTCATTGAGATCCTGCTGAGAAAGCTGCTTTTCTCTCCTGAATTTTATCTTAACAATCTCTGGAGGACATCAGGCTCTGAATACTATTATATAAACGTCCTGTAATACACTGGGGCTGATACTAACAACACGGACTACTCGTTTTCTGGCCATCCTTTAGTTCAGAGTTAAATCTGATGGTAAAGACCTTGGATGATAAGAAGGTGACTCCATTAAGGAAGTTCAGATTTGGCTATATAGTCGATAGAGATTAAAAACGTGGACCCTGGAATCGAACAGATCTGGCTTCCGGTCTCCACTGGATCCGATGTGTCCTTGCTCAAATGCTTCACCATCTCTGCAAGGGGGAGTTCATAACCTTACGTGTCTGTCTAGGAAGTGGAAGGCTGAACATGGTGGATGTTCCACCTGGTGAGTGATATTTTTGAATCGACTGTGAGGGAACGGTGAAGAAAGGGAATGGTCCTGAACCAGGGAATGAAGTCTTATCTCAGCAACCGCCAGTCATTGTCAGGGCCAGTCCTGTTGTGGTCCTCAAATCCATCCTGCTTATCAGTTTGGTACCAAGAAAACCAGTGTCTTTATCACCCTAGTCCCTGGTCTGGCTGATGGCGGTGGTGGTGACGTGTGGGGGGCTCCCCTGAACCCTGGTAGTTCATAAAGGATAAGGGAAGGATGCACGGCCCCTTGCTTGATGTATAATATGCTCTATCTTCTTCTTCTTTTTTTTTTTTTTTTCCAAAGATTATTTATTTATTTATTTGACAGACAGAGATCACAAGTAGGCTGAGAGGCAGGCAGAGAGAGAGGAGGAAGCAGGCTCCCTGCTGAGCAGAGAGCCCGATGCGGGGCTCGATCCCAGGACTCTGGGATCATGACCTGAGCCGAAGGCAGAGGCTTTAACCCACTGAGCCACCCAGGCGCCCCTAATATGCTCCACCTTCTTAAGCCTCTTTAGAAAACCAGCTTGTTAGGAACAAAAATCGTAAATCTGAAGGCAAATGTGATTTTTACCACGTACATATCACATCCTTAGCATTTGGCCCGCTAGCTAACATATATCTTACTAAAGTATGATGAATAAACAACAGGTATTGCAAACAGTTCCTAATACCTCAGACCCGGAGAGATGGGACATTGAGAGGTGGCTCTGAAAAGTTTTTGTGAAGTTCTTGATTTTGTGAAAACATTAATAACCAATTGCTGGTGTCCAGCCCTTTCCTGCAGAGATTTATGTTTTCTCTCGTATGTGGTGAAGAATACTAGAAAGACCTTTGTTTGGTTTATAATTTTAGATCTGTATGCTGTAATTTGGGGGGAACAGAGCAAAATCATTTTGGCAGAAAGGAGAGAAAATGGCTGCCTGTGTCCCCTGTGAGCTGTTTGTTTTCTTTCCGCTGAGCAAATGCCTGGAAGGCCGGCTTCGCTCCTGTGTCAGTCACAGGCAATTAGGGCTAATGGCTCAACATGTCTTTATGTAGGGTGTGTGTGAGGGTTACTGTTCTCTGGGATTGGGCTCTTCCTGTTTCCAGGCAGCTGGAAAACTCCAGGCCCTGAAAACACTCTTTATTCTAAGTTTGGCAGATGGAGCAGCCCAGGGAAGCCGATTCCCCACCCCCATCCTTGCCAGAGGCTGAAACACTTTGCCGAGGTAGAGTTTGAACTGTATCTTTTCCTTAGAGCATTTAGAATGTAGCGAGATCCGTGTTCGGGTCTGGGGAGGCCACTGCCCACTCTAACATGGGTACTATGTTATTGAGACCCAGTTTTCCATCTTAAGGTGCCTATCCCTAAGACAGCGGGAGCTTAGTACTCTGCAGGCTGGTTCCGGGCCTGGAGATTGGAAATCACCACCAGAACTGCTGAGTGCCGGGCATGGGGATGGAGTGCTTTTGTTGTGCTGCTCTGTGATGGCAAGTTGGAAAAGACATGGTTCCCGAAGTGACCTCTGCAACTCAAAGACCTACCGTCACCACACCAGCTTATTTACAGGTTCAGGAGATATGATCAGGATGGGTTATTCCTTTATTCCTGGCACTTTGGCTTTATGAGTAAGGAGACCAGTTTTCATCTTTAAAAAAAAAACTCTGAGCATGACACTTTATACTTAGAATGCTGTCCTGGCTGCCCATTGTCCTTAGGCGTAAATTCCCGAATCCTTCATAAGGCCTAAGAAGCCCCACATGGTATGACCCCACCTACCCCCTCAGGCCTTCCATGGAAGACTCTGCTCGGCTCTCTAAGCTCTAGCCTTAATGGCTTAGGCTAGTTGGACAGATGGAGCACCCTTTCCCTGGACTTTGGACGCTTCACCACGCAGGTCACTCTTTCCAAAAACTTCCTTACCATTTTTTCCATCAATCAACCAGCACTTCCCCTGGGCCTCTTTCCTTGATCCGTGGTAGACAAGGTCAAGCTGCTCTGTCTACTGTAATTCTTCTCACGTGTGTATTTGCTTGTTTCGCATCTCTCTGCCTCACTGGGCTGTAAACGTCAGGGTGACAGGGAGCCTGACACAAAGTAGGCCCCCCAGACATATTTGTCATGAATAAATTTAAATGCCATCTTTTTTTTTTTTTTCCTCCACCTGGGTGAATGTGTTCTGCTTCTCTGGTACCGCAGCTATGACAGGAATATTGCATTTTCCTTCCCAGAGGCCAGAGCGGAAGGCTGTCATCCACTGGGTTGCCCGGCTTTGGGTTCAGATATGCTACTCTCACAGGCTGGGGGACACTCTTCGCCGCTCATGAGGAGTCGTTGTGCACTGGGAGATCCCAGGACCATGTCTCCTCTTGGCCAAGTCATTTCTGGGCCACACGACATTGCTTTATCGAGGCATCTAGCCAGCTGTCTCTTCCCAACTTCATCTTCTGGACCCCTTCAGCCTCTACTGAGCAATTGCCCAAGGTCCACTTGGGAATCCCAAGGGCCTGTCTCCCTGGTGGCTGCATTGCCTTTCTGAAATTTGCAGCATTTGCAGCTCTGATCTTGAAGAGTTTACACACGCCCGTTCGTATGTTTTAAGGACCGAAGGTACGGAAGGCTGGGCTGCGTGAGTCCACAGAGCACCCCTCGGCCCCTTTCTCTCTCCCTGTCTCCAAATGCTCTGGCTTTCTGTACTTTTAAATTTAATTAGGCTGAAGGAAGCCAAGTGGAAGGGTGAGGCATTTTCAGGTTGCAAACGTTCATTAAAGAAGGGGGTGCCAGGAAGGCCCAGGAGACGTGAGATAGTGGTCCCAGGCAGCGGGGAGCGAGGCCACTTTGCTCGGCTGGCCCTGCATCTGTTTTTTATCAGCAGCGAGCCCACTTTGGGAACCAAGTGCTCATTAACAGACCGTGTGTACATGGCTTAGATAAACTCCAAGTGCGTCCTGGGCTCTGCAGCTCCCTCAGTCCCTCGCACACAGAGGCACATTATTTGACTCTGGCAGCCTGCGCTCTGCTGTGGTTTCTTACATAAGGGAGGCCGTTGTGTTTGGACTGCCGACTTACCTCAGCACTGCCATTTCACACCATCCTTTTTCTCCCGCAGTCATTGGCTGGCCTGTCTGTTTCCTGCCTCAAAGTAGAATTAATTGAGGAGGGGTGTTTTCTAGATCTTTCGGCTCTGCCATCTCCGCTCCCCCACACCCATTCATGGACGTCCAGAGGCCCTTTGCCCCAGGTGCTCCTTGAAACACTATCAAGGATGACAGTCTCGTAGGAGCTCTTGGATGTTTTGTTTGTGGAGAGCTTTCAGAGACGTTGGAATTTGGAGCTTCTCCGCTAAGTTATAAACCAGCTGCTGCCATTGCCTTTCGTTCCAAACTCATTTTTGGCACTAGCCAAAGCTCCTTACCCAGGGAGTTAGAAAACGGTCCTTCTTACACTGTCTGTGAAGAACCAATCCTTTTTTTGTTTTTTTTTCTCTCTTTTCTGTTTTTATTTTCTTATTTTCAGTCTGTTAGGAATCCCTACTTTTGTTCTCTGCTTCTCCACTGATCACATTACTTAGATGTGGCGATGCCAAATTGGTACAAAAGTTTCTAAATGCTTAGAAACTTCCGTACTTTTCTGGTGGCTAAAGAGTAACCGTTTGGGCCATGGACCATGCTTTGAGTGCCGCCAGATTAAAGGATTATACTGGGAGACTCTCTGCCTTCTTGTTGAATATGGTTTAGTTCTTGGCCGTGCAAGGACTATTACACACTTAGGTAACGCTGAATATCGGCACATGCTTCTGGCTTCCTCCTCCTCATCTCAGAATGAAACCTTATTTCCAAAGACTCTTGTGTTGTCCGAGGCTGGTGTCCATGAGACATTCTCACACTACTATATGTGTGTGTAATTATGTGTAATTACAAATGTCCATTCTCACTACACTTTCTTGAGAGCTCCTCAAGAGCAGAGATGATTGTGTCCATTTTCGTATCCACAAGCACCTAGCATAGTACCTGGCTTAGAGGGAGATGGGGTGAGAACTATTTGATAATGACTAGATAAATGATTTCACATTCTCAGTAGCATTTAAAATTTAAAAAAGATTCTTTTTAAGTAGAAAAAGAAAATGGAGAAGAAGAACAGCAGTAACAAGCCAATGCGCAGATTTAACCATTGGTGCTTTCCAGATTGTATATATTTTTTCCTGACCATTAGTGACCGCTAGCATGTGTTCAGTGTTTACATTGTGTAGGGGAATGCTAAGCTTTGCCCATGGATTATT